TACAAATCCTGCACACAACAATACAGGAATGTAAGAGATGTAAACATTTCAGAACTGTCCATCGGAAGCCGGCAGAATAAACCCATAAACAAAACATTTGGTTTAAGAGCTAAGAGTTTTAGTTATGGGTTAAGGGCACTGTCAACATAAGTAACAGACTTAGTAGACATTTAAAAGATTGCTGTTAACCTGTAGTAAATTACAAATCCTGCACACAACAATACAGGAATGTAAGAGATGTAAACATTTCAGAACTGTCCATCGGAAGCCGGCAGAATAAACCCATAAACAAAACATTTGGTTTAAGAGCTAAGAGTTTTAGTTATGGGTTAAGGGCACTGTCAACATAAGTAACAGACTTAGTAGACATTTAAAAGATTGCTGTTAACCTGTAGTAAATTTAAAAAATAAATACAAAATAAGCACATGCAGCAAAATGCATGTGCTGTTGAGTGCCCGATCCACCTTTTCTAATAAAAAATTCCTAATTTTTTTCTCCTTATTCTTGGAGGAAGACCCACCCACATATGCTGGGAAAATGAGAGACCGTGTAGGTGAGAGTATGTTTACACTTAAAATGCTAGGCGTAAACACTCACTAGGGCAATGGATTCTCCCATTGTTGTAGTTCAGGGGTGTCCAAACTTTTTTCAAAGAGGGCCAGATTTGAAGAAGTGAACATGCGTGAGGGCCGACCATTTTGCCTGACATTCTTTGAACCATTAAAATTAAATGCAAATTAACTATTTTATGCAAAGTTTATTGCAAACGGCATACTTTTCATTTCGTCACATGGATGACAAATCTAAACAGGTGTTAAATCACTCTGCCTTTCATATCTGAAGGCCAGATGAAAAAAAAAATCCAGGAAGCTGAAATATATGTCAGGAACATTGTAAAGTACATTACATATTATCAACTTTTAAGTTAAAAAAATATGAACAGGAACATAACACCAACTATACATGTTGTGTCCAAATATATTTATAACTGATTTAGACCAACTGACATTAACTGAGATTTTGCAATGTATTCATCTCAATTGAAAAAAAAACTTGCCTAAACTAATGTGAAGGGGGAAACTGAGATCTGGACTGCAGCACAGGAGAGCGCAGGGCACGCTGGCCTCACGGCGGCACGGGGGCAGGGCGAACCCGCAGCCAAGCGGGGTGAGCGGGGCTGCGGACGTGCCCTACATGGCAGGCTTTAGGACCGCAGCGGCCGCCATGGATGGCGGCGGCGTGGCCGGAAGCGGCGGGCTGCGCGCGCCAGTTCAGATGAGCGCCAGGGAGCCAGGAGAGGGGGAGGAAGCGGGGGCTGTCCCCGCACTCTCAGCCCCAAAGCGGAGGGCCCACATTATGCTGGCAATAGAGAGCTCTCCTGTCAACTTAATAAAACAAGCTCAATGAGCGATGGCATCTATGTTGGCAGGAGAATATCTCCCACCAACACAGTGCTGTGCACACAAGTGCTTATGCTGACAAAACTTATGTCTCTCGGGAAGGTTTTTTCAAACCCCTCAAGTGACAAAGTTTGGTGACATAAGTGCTAATGCAGATACGGTTTGAGATGTGGTAATTAGGTTGACAAAATAATTCTTCCATTGACCTACTGATATTCAAGGGGGGAGGAGGTGTTAGGTAAACATATCTATGTTTCCATGAGTGTGGATTTTTTACACCCCTGAGAGACCTAGCTATATGGATACATTTTCATTGTAGACTAACCCTCCTTCAAATCTGGCGAAGGTAACCAGAATGTCCAAGCTAATTTCAAGATGGGAAAGATTGGTAAGCATAACAATCATACAGATACACTCTGTAGCAGAAATGAAGTGGGCAATTAACACCTCTGCAGTTGTAGAACAATGAAAGGTTAGTAGGCAGGAAGGTGTGTTACAAACTGTGATAATGAGCCATAAAAGAAGCACATTGTTAAAACCATAGCATTTAGTGTCCAGCAGAATTATAAATTTAAATTCCTAGGCTTGTCTTTTGACAGAAAATGACCGTTTATACTATGAAAACAGTGAAAGTTACTTTACACAAAGGGCTGTCAAACCCACAAGATATACAAGCTTAAACTAGAAAAATCTTTTTCTTCTATTGATCTCTATGGGTATGTCTACTCTGCAACACTATTTCAAAATAACTAGAGCTATTCCAAAATAACTTAGTCCGTGTCTAAACAGCAGGCAGCTATTTTGAAATAGTGTCAAAATACTGTCAAGCTGGATGACTTCTTACTCTGACTCCTGTAATCCTCATTGTATGAGGAGTAAAGGAAGTTGGAGGAATAGTGCTCCATTTCGAAAAAAGCGCTATGTAGATGCTCCCTATTTAGAAATAAGGTATGCAATTGACATAGCTCAATTTGCGTAGCTTATTTCAAGGTAAGCCCTGAGTGTAGACACACCCTATCATATATATTGATCATTGGTATTAATTGAAACAGTAGCAGATCAAAAAACTAGTTCTAGGTGTGATTATTAGTTTCTGTCCTTTGACATGTTGATAGATTTTTCTTTTTACACCTGGATGGGGAAAGTGTACCTGGTTTCCTCAAAGTCAGCAGAAGTATCTTGTGACATACTGCGACATGTTTTTAAATGATTTTTCTCATGTGGTCAGGGATTAAATTCAGCTGGAGCTGTCCAGAGAAAAACTCTGGTAAATATTTTCAAAGTCTTTAGGCAGAAGCTCTGAGCCCCACTGTCTCATGCAGAGCAGAAACCCTAAACCCCAGCACTGCCAATAGGGAAGAAACCCACAGCCTTGGGGCTCCAGGAAATACTGTATTAGAATTCACACCCTGCATGTGGTTCAGTGTTTGCTGACTGTTTATCAGATTTGTATGTTTATGCTTTGTAGTTTATCTTTATTACATCTGACAGTGTAATGCAGAGCTTCAAAATTTTGCACATTACAAAACGTATTGCAGATCACTCGTGTCCAGGAGTTTGTTGAACATTCTCTTATGTACCACAGTGCATAGCAGAGAACCAGAAGTTAGTGTTTTTGTAATTATCCTACTTATCCCTGAAGAGGCTCATGATGCCAGTGGTATTTTATCAGCATCATGGCTTCCCTGAAAGCTGATAACTTTTTTTTCCTCTTTCTTTTTAAAAATGTGTTATACTAGTCAAGTGATATTGCCAAAGTCACCTGGACTTCTCAGGGCATGCCATCCATGTCTTCTTCTCTTCCTCTCTTTCACTCACGTGTTGCATGTATATATGTCTAGATGGATTCCAGGCATGAAACAGTTGACTATGTGCTTGAAAATGTAGCAATACGCGCATTGTATCATTTATGTCATGGTTAAAAAAGTTCTACACTCCAGCATGTCTACACTCCAGAGTTTTTGCGGAAAAACAGCTGGTTTTTTTGCAAAAACTCATGGAGCATCCATACCTCAAGCGTGTTTTGGTGCAAGTAAGTCGAAAGATCAGAGTTTTTTTTACACAATTGGTAATCCTCATTCTACGAGGAAGAACACCTTTTTTGAGCGAGAGCTCTTGCGCAAAAAGGTGTGCATGGATGGGGAAAAGGGGTTTTTTGTACAAGAAGAGGGAAGAGGAAAAAGCACAGGTGCCCTGGTGGCCATTCTGTCCATAGTAATCTCTGCTTACTTTCGAGAGAGCATCCAGGCAGTCTGGACACTCTCTTTCGCAAAAGCGCATCACTTTTTCAATGAGCTTTCTTGTGCAAAAAGCCTATAGTCTAGAAGTAGCCTCCAGGTCTAGATATGGGCAGGGGAAGAGTTTGGTTGCCAGGGCTTCTAAACAGATTAGCTTTCCTGTTATTGTTGTCATTTATTATTCAGATACTCATGGAATCCACAGTATGGTAGATATTGAGCATTCACAAAGGATGACACAAGTCTCTGCCCCAAAGAGCTTACCCGTTTAAGTCAGTAAGCAGTATCAATAATGAGGCAGATGGGCAAATAATAGAAGTATGTGCAATATACATCATACACATTTTCCCCAAGAATTAAACAACACTCCAGCTATACTCTGCCTAGTCAGGTTGACTGGCCAATTTTTTGTTTATGTCCTGAGGAGTGAGTGGCAGCCTTGCATGTCTGTTAAGCCAGGGTGTTTCATGCATGTAGACAAGTGGAAAAATGAGTAACTATAGTTATGGGAGACACGGATTTGAGGATGGGAAAGCCAAAGGAGCCCAGTAATACTAATACAGCTTTAGGGAGCCAATGGTTTCTTTTGGTTTCTGTGACATCTTTAAGTAGTTTAAGTGTATTGTCTTTTCTCCTCCAGGATGCTTCACTTCTCTTTTTGTTCTTTGTACTTCACTCACTTGTGTCTATCACTGTTGGAGATCACAGAGTATTTCCCTTCCTCCTTACAAAAGTTAATGGGGAGTGATTAAAAGTATTAGGTAATCCTTTAAAGGTATTTTTAAGTGTCTGATTGATTTTTATAACAGTAAGGGCATATTCTGCAGTCACACTCATGCAGCTCCACTGAAATGAAGGGAGAGATTATGGGTATGAACGATGACTCAGTTTATCTTCCTAAATACAGCCTGCATTTACTGATACCATTACAGATTTATGCTGGGTCTGATGTCAAGATGCCGTTTCACCACCCAGCATTTCTCTCTAGGCATGAATCTAGCATTTTATACTCACAGACAAGGTTCCTAATGAGTTCCACAGTCGTGCTTTTCCCCCCAGAATGAATAATTACATTAATCTGCACAGAATACTTACGTTTCAGGATGTTTCTCTGCTCTAGCTCTTCAGTTGTGGGCCTCTGGCTAAGTCTCCTGGGAATACAAATCAAATGACCATTTAAAAGCCAAAATTTCTCAAAAAAATTTCTCAAAAAAATTTATTGTTTTAACAATAAAGAGTCAGGTGTTTTATTAAAGTCTGCAATACAACTCCTTTAATCAGTCTTTCAAATATAATTAGCAGTGCTATTCATTTTCCACTCCAAAGTTGATGTGCAACTGCACAGTTAACTTGAATGCAGTTTCTACAGATGAACACACACACACTGGGGGTACGGCTACATTGCTGTTTTTTTGCGGAAGAAGATATCCAAATCGCGCTCACATTTGCAGATTTTCATTTGCAGAGAAATGTCGGAAAAATCCCCTCTTCCGCAAGATCCTGTAATTTACGAGGAATAAGAGGTCTTGCGAAGGAGGTTTTTTTTCCCCAGACATTTGGGCCCATCTACACAAAACCAAATAGCAGCAAAACTTCTTCCACAAAAAGAATCAGAAGAAGATATGTAAATGTGAGTGCAATTTGTATATCTTCTTCTGCAAAAAACTGGCAGTGTAGCCATAGCCTAGATACTGAGCAGGCATATGTCTGGTTTGGCCACTTAGACATGACATTGACCGGTGTGTGGATGCAATCATGGTAAGTGAGTTTGCAAACCTTTTTTAAAAAGGCTTTAAATATTCCATTTTGGGATCTAGTTTTTGTGAAATATTCTGTACCAACCCCCCTGTAATATATTGTAATATATTGTGCTGCTGTGGGAATACTTTCATGAATGTATACATTCTTTCTATTTCATGTGTTTTTAACTAGGGATGTGAATGTTTAACTGGTTAACTAATAAGCCTCACCCTTAATGGGTGAGGATTAGCAGTTACAGTTAACAGGGCATGGGGCTGCCACAGGGCCTGCTGTGGGAGGGGTGGGGGTGCGCTCCAGCCCAGTCAGAGCAGTTCCCTCCACCTGTGATGGGCCCAGCTTGGTTGCACCACAGGCAGGAGCACTCCAACTTGGCGGGGAGTGGTCCCCATCTGTGGCCGGAGCCTCCCATTCACCCCCATTTAACTGGTTAAGGAAGAGGCTTGCCGGTTCACTGGTTAAATCTCACTATCATGTATGTGTGTGTTAATGTAGTCCATATTAATGGACATTTTCAAGTGTGCACATAACTATCTCCATCTTACAGAGTTTGAATAAAGTCAGACAGAGTTAAAAATGAGTGATTTAAATCTGTATAACATTCACTCATTGTGACCAGTATATAGAAAATTTGGACCTCATCCAAAGCCCTTTGAATAACAATATTAATAATATAAACAATATAATACCTAGCTCTTATATAGTGCTTTTCATCACTAGTTCTCAAGACTTTCATTGACTTCAATGGGTTTTGAATCAGACCCTTAAAGTGCCACGTGCTGACTGAAATGTTAAAAATTTAATAAGAAAAGCATTAAACTTCATTGTGAAATTGCAGATTTACACTCCACTAAGTATAAAGCTCATCATGAAGATAACCATATAGACACTAGGGTGGCTTAATAATAATCCATCATCCATTACCAAAATGCAGTCACCTCTGGGAGTGGAGCACATCAGTACCAGCAATTGTACACAAGACAGCTTAGGACAAGAAGTTAAGAACAGTGCTCTCAGTTTAAACTATGGAGGAAATGTAGGTAAGCACAACATAATGTTTGGAGTTAGAATTTGGCCAAGACACCAGTGATAAGGCCCACATTCATATTATTAAAGTGCCCTATGAATCGCAAACAGTGATACACCACACCTACCATTAAGGAATAAAATATTTTTTAATCTGGTTCTCAAGTTCACAAAATAATAATAAGTACTTATCAGGTGCTCACAGACATAACAACTCAGATATCCTGCACCAAATACTGTGGATGCATTTAAGATGTGATGC